ATGGAGGCCTTGGGGGCTATGGGGGCTATGGGGGCTATGGGGGTTGTGGATATGGTGGCTGGGGCCGTGGCTGGGGCCGTGGCAGCTGTGGCTCCTGCTAAACCCCAAACATGCAGGGAGGGCAGTGCTGCCTCTGCCCTGGAGCTCCACAACCAGCCCCTCTTGGCTTCTCCCACCTGAGCCAGGACGAAGCTTCCAGCCCCTCTTTAGGCTGGAGCAGCAGGTCCCTGTTCTTTGCACACGGTGACCCTGCAGACCCTCAGCTGGTGGCTTTGGGGTTTCCAGCACTGCCCCCAAAAGCTCCCCTCTCCCTGCCATCCAACAAAGCTCTTCTGTCCCTGGGATGAGACTCTGCCCTGCTCTGCCCAGCTCGGAGACTCCCAGCCTGCAAGAGGAAGGGGGAATCTTTGGGGTGGAGCCCTGGGTTGGGCTTTGCTGCTGCCTTAGGATTTTTGTGTTTCCCATCCCTTGTTCCTGTGCTGGTTTGTGTCTTGCTGACACTGTCTGTTGCATTTTCCATCCACATTAAAAAATCTGCATTGCATGAATAATTTTTTTTGTTATTAATTTGTTCTTCATCTGGGCTGGAATTATGTCTCTAACTGAGCAATGATATGAAATGTTAGATCATAGAATTACAGGATGGTTTGGGTTGGAAGGGACCTTAAAGATCATCTTGTTCCAATCTCCCTGCTGTGGGCAGGGACACCTTCCACTAGATGGGGCTCCTCTGGGCAATCTGTGCCAGGGCCTCATAGGGAACAATTTCTTCCCAATATCCCATCTAAACCTCTTCTCTGTCAGTTTGAACCCATCCCTCTTGTCCTGCCACTCCAGGCCCTTGTCCAAAATCTCTCCCCACATTCCTTGTAGCCCCTTCAGGTCCTGGAAGGCCACAACTGGCTCACCTTGGGGCTTCTAATCTCCAGATTGAACAATCCCAACTCTGCAGCCTTTCCTCCCAGCAGAGCTGCTCCATCCCTCTGCTCAGTTCCTCTGGAGTGGCTCCAGCAGCTCCAGGTGCTCCCTGGGCTGTTCCCCAGCTCTGCTGGGGGGTCTCAGCTGAGGGGGCAGAGGGGCACAATCCCCCCCTGCCTACACTGGGGGATCAGCCTAGGGCACGGGGATCTCTGGGCTGGGTCATATCCAGCCTCTCCCCCAGCAGCTCCTCCAAGTCCTTCTCCCAGCAATCCCACCATGTTCCTGAGAGTGTTGTCCAAATGTTCCTTGAGTTCTGGCATATTTGGGGCCGTGACCAGTGCCCTGGGGAGCCTATTCCAGTGCCCAACCACCCTCTGGGGGAAGAGCCTGTCCCTAATATCCACCCAAACCTCCCCTTTTGTTGTGGGGCACAGAAAACCAGCAGACATCTTTTGGTACAGAACATTTATTTGGAAAGAGGCAGCTTTCCTACAAATGTGGAACCAAACTGTACAGAACACAAAGATCACCTTTGCAGGGAGGCTCTGCTCAGCCACCAGCATCCAGGTGGTGCAGTCTGTGAAAAAGGGGCTCTCCCCTGCTGGCAGTGCTGCCCTGGGCAGCGCCGGGCACCCGGAGTCGCCTCCCTACGTTCAGTGCCCACAAAGCGACGGGAATAAGGCAAAGCACGACGGAAGCAACGACTACGCTGGAAACGTGGAGAGCAGCTCTAAGCTAAAGGCAGAACGAGACAGGGCCCGCGTGAGCCCGTCCCGGGGCTGGAGCCAGAGCACACCGGGGGTGCCTCCCAGCTCCACCCCAAACTTCCCTCCGGCCTTTCCTCCGCCGCCCCTTCCACGGTCAGTGAGTCCAGCGCTTCCCGGAGCGGTAGGAATTGCAGGGGTGAGTCCACTGGGAGGAGTAGGTGTAGGAGTACTTCGGGGCACAGCGGGGCTCGGGCCGGGCCAGCGCCTGGGCCGGGACCTTCTCGGCCGCCTCCAACCTGCCCGAGAGCTCCGCGGGCAGCGCGGCCGCGCCGGGCGGCTCCGCCAGGGCCACCTCCGAGGGCTCCGAGGCTCCCACGACGGTCTGCTGGGGGTAGGTGGTGAGGATGGGCCCCGGGAAGGTGACCACGACGGGCGGGGGGTAGATGATGACCCGCGAGTCGCCGCAGGTCACCACGCAGGGCTCGTTGCTGCTGCTGGCCAAGGGCTGGGGACACTTGGCCTCGCAGGGGTTGGCACAGGCCAGCTGGGTGGACGTCATCTCCTGCAGGTGGGGAGTGCCTGGAACGTCACAGAACGTCCTGAGCTGGAAGGGACCCACCGGGATCATCCATCCAGCTCCTGGCCCTGCACGGACACCCCAACGATCCCACTCCAGGTGCTCCTGGAGCTCCGGCAGGTTTGGGGCCGTGGCCATCCCCGTTTCACCCTCTGGGTGAAAAACCTTCTCCTGATACCCACCCTGAACCTCCCCTTTCACTGTGTGCCCGGGATTTCACAGAATCACAGGATATTCTGAGTGGGAAGGGACCCACAAGGACCATCGGGTCCCAGGCTGAGAGTTTTAAAGCAGGTGACAGCTCTGAAAATGTCCCGGTTAAAAATGCGCTTTTCTGATTCAACTGAGAACTTTTCACCTTGGAAAATGAGCTTTTCACCTTAAAAAATTAGCTTTTCCACTCTATTAAATGCTCTTCAATGCAGCCTGGAGATCCCTGCTGCTCACAAGTTAACAGTTTTGCCAGAAAGTCACCACTCACTTTGGAATAAATCAGAAGATGAAGCTCAAACTGCAGTTTTTGGCAGCAGAGAAGCCAAGAACGAGGAGCTCTTTTAGAGATGGGTATGGCAGTCACAGGACTTAACTAAGGATGGGCTTAGGAGCAGAAAGAGATGATTCCCCCCCTCCTTTTGATTTATTTGCAGAATTAAAAAAAAAACACTAAAACCCCGAAGCAACAGAAATCCCCCCACTTGGTTATTGGTTATTGACATTTTAGACAGAGATCATTTGGATTAAGACAAAGTTGAGCTCCTTTTGTTGTATTTACCACCTTTTACTTCACCTCCACCTATTTCTCCATTTTAATTTGCTGCATTAAACTTTCCCTCTTTGCTTCTCCTCCTCTGAGAGCAAAACTCCTCCCCATTCTTTGGGTGTCACCCCCAAACCCCACATCTGCTCTGAAACCTCCCACTCCTTTGGAATGAGTCCTGAAGACGCGTCGGAACTCGTTCCCACAGCATCTCTTTTCCTCCCACACAACTTCCCGGGGCAGTTCCTGCCTCCTGCATTTCCCAGATGGGGCACAAGGGGGAAAATTCTGGATTTTCCATGTATTTCATGGGAATAAGCTGTTAATTAAGCACCTTGCTTCATTTTCTATATTATTTTCCTTGCACATTCCCGTTCTTTTCAGGCATAAAACACTCTACTAAAACACAGGATAAAAAATTGAAAGGCTGGGAATGAGTGGGAGCATTAAATACTCATTTAATAAATAAAACATATAAATTAAAATATTAAATTGTCACCCCAACTAAGAAAATTGCAGCTTCAGCAAGGAGACACCTATTTAATAATGTTTATTTCTTCAGGTTAAAGCCTCACATAAAAGCTTGGTGGAGCAGCAGAATATTTTTTAAGCTTGTAAATTAAAGGCATAACTCTGAAAATTAAAAAAAAAAAAAAAAAGGCAAAAACCCCAAGGAGGGCATTTTCTCCCAAATCCCCTTAGGTTAAAAGGGAGCTTTGACCCACAAAAGATGCTGAATTTAATCTCTGGATAAGCACATTCAAATGCTGGCAAAGTTTTAATAGTTAGAAATGAAAGTTCCCTTAATGGTCTCTAATCATCACTTGTTGGGACTCCCAATTAAATTAGGGATGGGCAGATCAAAATAACAGCAATGGAGCCACCCCAAGTTAACTTCCAACAAGGATTTTGCTTCTGTAGTTATCCATGAATTCCCCACCCAACCACTGCTGAATCCCCTGGTCGAGCCACACATGCAAACCCAATCCTAAAACCTCATCCCCTGATCGTGCCACACGTGCAAACCCAATCCTAAAATCTGTTCTCAGAGCTCTCCTAAAAGTTTTTCAGAACCAAGAGACTGAAACTCAGAATTTCCCCGTGAATTTAAAATCCCAAACCAGCCTTGAAAACCCCCTTGCTTTTATTTCCCCCCCCTTTCCCCAGCCTAGAAATCACCTGCAGGGAGGTGCTCCCTAAAGTCTCTGAGAGCCAGAATATTTCTGCGGGGTTTAGTCCCGGTTTTAATGACAAATTCATGCAAAAGCCCAAGTAAACTCGAGGTTTTTAGAGCTGTTAAGTCAAACTTACTCAGGGAACCGGAGAGAACAAGTCAAGAGGAGCAGTAAAGGAAAGCCTGGTGTGGAGAGAGTATTTATACCCTCCCCTGGATGCCTGGAGGGGCTGAGACACCCTTTGTGTAAAGCACTTTAATTACCCATGAAGCAAACCCTGCTGCATTTATTCCTCCTGCACTGGCAGGGATTGTTTTGCTCCCTGCTTGTGATTATCTAAAGCTGAGTTGGGAAATAACAAAATGCAGATGAGCCCTTTTCATCTTGAAGTTTCCTGCTTTCCCTCCTCTGGTTTCATTAAGAGTTATAAATACACCGAGAATTAATGAGAGTTTTGGTGGCTTATCTTGGCCAAGGCACCCCTGCAAAGGGAGGCTGGGATGTGTCAGCGGGGCAGGAGCCAAGGCTGAGCTTCCCTGTTGGAAGTACAAGTTGCCATTGAGTGTTTGTGTCCGTGCCCTGATAAACTCCAGAAAATCAGGGATTGTTTCCCATCTGATATGATATTGGTGAGGTTTCCAGGTGTGTTCTGAAATCAGAGGCAGGATCTGGTGCACATTCCAAGGGCAAAGCCACCCCAGCCTTATCTGTTCAGTGATGCCGCCAGTGATGAAGCTGGAAATGAGGAGCTGATGGAACCCTTTCCATGATTACTCCCGAGTGAGGTCAGGGCAGCCAAAATCCCCGGGCTGGCACTGCCATTCCCAGCAAACCACTGCCCTGTGTGACAAACTGGCAGATCTCGGAGGATCCTTTGAAACCTCATTTCTTGATGTCTCCAGAATATTCCCGATAAGCTCCACAGCCCCGGGGGGGTTCAGGAGGTGCCTCACGGAATCAGGATGTGATGGATGTCATTCCAGAAGCACCACCGGGGTGGGTTTGGCTCATTTCAACCTGCTGGGCACTTCCATCCCGAGGGAAGAGCGAGTGTGGGGAGCTGATCTCTGGGGAAATGGGTGCAGAGCACCTGCACTTTGAGAGGGTCCTTCCAGGGGCCTCTTCCTCTCTTATCAGTGGCCTTTCCCACAGGAGGGAGCGTTTGTGGGCCTGGGAATCTCCTCCAGGAGCAGGGTTGGGTCCCTCAGTGCTGGTGGGATGATGTCCAGCCTGTTGGTACCACGTGCCAGCAGTTTTCCATGATTTAATCCCAGCAAAGTAGGATTAGCCTTGTCTGTGGCAGAGGAGCTCAAAATTCTGCTGAAAATAGTCAAGAATATTTAATATATATTTTCTTCTCCTCACAAAATTTTCCATATCTCCAAAGATATCCATATATATCCATAGGTATCCATAAATATCCCTATATATGCATCTATTTCCATAGCTATCCAAGATATATCTGTATATCTTGGTTCTAATTCTCTGGCAATTTCTTGCTGCAAGAACTTCTCCCCTCCAAGGATGATCCTCCCCAAATTCCAGTTTCAAACCGTGAGTATTAAAGTACATGGAGCAAGTACAAAATTCCCCCCCCAACAGGGTTCTGGTGGGGTTTTCTGTGGGATTTGGGAGACCCCTGACACAACTGGGAACCAGATCCTGGCTGTTGGGTAAAAATGCAGTCCCTGAGGTACAAACTGATTGAATCTGCTCAAAATTCTGCCATGATGTATCAACATTGGACAGACTCTTCTCTTTTCCACCCAGCTTTTCTGTTGGGCTCTGGTTCATCGGGAACTGTGGCTGCAGGACAAGGGGAGTGGCTTCAAACTGGAAGAGAGGAGCTTTGGGTGGGATACTGGGGAGAAATATCCCATATTGGGAAGGTAATTCCATGGCTGCCCCATCCCTGGAAGTGTCCAGGGCCAGTTTAGGAGCAACCTGGGATGGTGGAAGGTGTCCCTGCCCGTGGCAGGGAGTGGGATGAGATGATTTTTAAGGTCCCTTCCAACCCAAACCATTCCATGACTAACAAAGGGAATAAAGAGCAAACACAGACTGCAAACACCACAATACAGAATGTTAATACTGGCAGGGCCTATTAATTTGAAATTGTTTTAGAAAATTATAGCCTTTTGCAAGGCAGGGCAGAATTAAGGGTGACTCCTGCCCGGCTGAGATGGTTCCTGTGGTCAGACCAGTCCTGTGGGACTTCAGAGCGCAGGAGTTTTGTTTGTGGAGCTGAGTCAGGAGCATCTGCTAATGAGAAAGAATCAAAGGGAAACGCTCTGGGGTGGCTGCTTTGCTGAGGTGGGTCTGCAGCAGTCACTGCCCTCACTTCAAAGAGGCTCTGCCTGCTGACATCACCCCGCCAAACATTATATCAGCAACAATTCTGCCCGCGAGGCAGAAGGAGCTGAAAGCCGGCTCCAGATGGGTGGGCAGGGTTCATTGTGGCTGCCAGGCTGGCCACACAGGTTTCTGCACTATCAGGAACTCTGATTCTGCACAGGCCGTGAGTGAAAGTCGAACAATCCCAAATGTGAGGCGGTGAAGCCTAATTAGGACAACGCCAGAGATGACCTTGGTTTATCTCCCTGAAGGTGACACTGTTGCCCAAGACTGGGTGTCACCCCTGGGTGTTGTGATAGTACAACTATTTGCATAGGCAAGGAATTAATGTGTTTGTGAAACGTTTTCAGGCCTCAGAACATCCCCAGGGTGTTTGACTCCGCAGGGTGTTTCCAGAAAAACCTCCTAAATGCTCAGTTCTGGCAGAAAGAGGCTGATTTTACGAATCTGCAGCTCCTGGGTCAAAATGATGGGGATGGCACAGGGTGAGGGGTGGTCTTCCCCAGGAATATTTGGCAGATCAAGAGAGAAGAGGGTTTTTGGAAGGTCTTTTGGGGGGTAAAAGGAGAAATTTTCTTTTCTGGTGTTCTTGTGGAGACCTTCTCGCTTTGCAGCCTTGGCAGGACCCCCAGGGGTGTGGTGGGACTGGGGTTCACTGGGGGTGCTTTGTCTTTTCTAGGGCTTAACAGACCAGAAAAATCCCCTAAATTTAATAGGAGAGCCCAGGACTTGTGGTCTTTGTTCACTTCTAGCTGGGATTGAACTAGATTTTGAACACTGAAAAATGACCAAGAACTGTTGGCAGGATAAACTCAGAGGAAACAAATGCTGAAGGAGCACAGAAGGAAAGGGAATGAAGGGAGTGGAGCAGAAGAAACCTCACCCCGTGCTGACCAGAGCTGAACTAAAATCTGCTGTACAGCAAGAAAATCGAAACGCTGGGTTGGCCAGAGCAGGAAAGCAAATTAAATTATTTCAGTGACGTCAAATCCATCTGGATTCCTGATCCCTGCGTGTTTTAATTAACCCTGTTTCTCGTTCATAGGTGGAAACCGCAGCCCTGCAGCTCCCGAGAGTCAATCCTGCAACGTTCAGTCTCCCTCTGCTTGCCCCACCTGGCATTGCACAACCTGGCTCCCTGTCCCTCTCCAGGGGAACTCTGGCTTTCTCTCCCCCACCCCAAGGCTTTGTTTCACAGCACGAAGGTACCAAAGCATTTTCCCTCTCTCATGTGAAGCCCTGGACTGAAGGGTTATGACCCTTGGCTGGGTTATAACTTTGTGCATCAGCTTTATCTCACCTGTAACGTGGCACTGAGCCCAAAGGCTGGGTTGTGGTGGCTGTGACATCACCCAGGGGACAGTCCCCGCTCGGGATCATCCCTGGGATGCTCAGCCTGACCTGTCCAAGGTGGGGAAGGAGCTGTTGGCACCATCGGGCCAGGAATGGAGGTGCAGCAGTGAAGGGCTGAGCTGGCATTGCTGAGCCCTCCTGCTCTGCAGTGAGGAGGCTGCAGAAGATGTGGAGGAGCCTCCACGACATCCCTTGGAAGTCCTGGCTTGGCCTTCAGCAGGATGTGTTCGAGAAGGGAATTTTTTCCCCCCAGGGCAATCCCACACAATCACCTCCAACTTTCAGGGCGATTTATGGCCTGGAAACCTGAAGTTATTTAATCAGGAACAAACCACAGGAATGTAAACAAACAAACGATGCAGGAGAATGGAGGAGGTATTTTTAGCAACCTGTGGGTGGAGCAGGTAAATCTGCTGTGAGTCATCCTGAGTCCTTGGGGTGGCTACAGGGTGAGAAATGCTGTCCAGCACAGGCCTCTGCTGCCACAGGTTTGCCCTGGAGGGGCCAAATTTAATGGAAATTTAAATGCTCCAGGGCTAGAACTAATAATGACTGGATTAACAATACATCATTAATGAGGTTTTTATGCCTAATTTAAAGTGTTATTACCTGAACATATGGAATCTGATGAAATATGAGTTGATTCATCCCACGTTTAGTGCAGGAAGAGCAAGGACAGGTTAGAGATGAGGATTTGGGTTATCCCATGTCTTTGATCCAATGTTTCGTGCAGGAAAAGCAAAGGTTGGAGCGACCTGGAATAGTGGGAGGTGTCCCTGCCCGTGGCAGGGGGTGGAACCAGAAGACCTTTAAAATCCCTTCCAAGCCAAGCCATTCCAGGACTCCATGGTGGTGGCAGCTGCTGCATTTGACTTGCTGACCTGCAATTACACAGAGCCCTCCAGGAGACACGTTCTGGGGCTGTTAATGGCCACTGATATTCAAAACACACGAATATTTCCTGTTCATGCACGATGCAAACTCAGCCTGATGCACCCTGGATTGCCCAGGGGAGGAGATGCTTGGCTCGGGATTTTCCCACACACTTAAAAAAGCACTGGGGGGACGTGAGAGGCGATTCATTTAAAATTTAAAAAAGCTTCTGAGGCAAGAAAAGAAAAGGCAGAGAAATGATCTCACGTGTTTCTGAAGAGCGGGAGTTGCTCAACCCCTGCGTGTCCAAATCCAGAGGCACAGGCTGGGTTTTGCAAGGCCTGGCTTGGGTACACACATAATGAGTGTTTGTGAGGCCTTCCCAGAACTCTCTGGCTGTTGGTCCTGGAGGGATCGGGCAGGAGCCACCTGGAGCTGGGGTTGATTTATGGAAAAAGCAGCTGCAGAGCGAATTTGGGGATTCGGAGACCTCAAGTGGATAAACGTGGAGAAAAAGTCCTGGGGGCTGAGGAGGGATGTTGGAAACACTGTTCCCTGGAAATTACAGTGGGGAAACATGAACACATTAATTCTCAGCCTAAGAACTCATTAGTTTCAGCCATTGCTGCGTGTTGGCCAATACAGAGAAATATTTCCTTTGCATTGTTCAGCTGCATGTACCCACCTGGCAGATTCCACTTGGCAGATTCCACCTGGCAGATTCCACCTGGCAGATTCCACCTGGCAAATTCCACCTGGCATATGCCACAGTGCAGATTCCACATAGCAGATTCCACGTGGCAGATTCTACCTGGCAGATTCCACACTGCAGATTCCCCTTGCACAAGCTGTCCCAGCGTGGTGACCCAGGGAGGGTGACAGTGTCCCCAGGAAGGTGACAGTGCCCAGGTCCTGCCTGGTCACGTCTGGTCGGTGATTTTTGTCCTGTTTTTGGGGAATAGTCTCATGACTCGGCTGGGGAATTAATCCCAGTTCTTTAATTAATTAAGGCAATCTGCATCTCTGGGCTGGGCAGGGATGAGGCACCTCGAGTGCTGTGTCCTTCACTGCCAGGGAGACACGGAGGGGCTGGAGCGTGTCCAGGGAAGGGAAGGGACCTGGGGAAGGGGCTGGAGCAGCAGGAGCAGCAGGAGAAGGGTCTGGAGAACTCCTGAGGGAGCTGGGGGGGCTCATCCTGGAGAAAAGGAGGCTCAGGGGGGACCTTCTGGCTCTGGGATTCCCTGACAGGAGGGGGGATCCCAAGGATCTTCTCCCAGGGAACAAGGGACAGGAGGAGGGGAAACGGCCTCAAGCTGTGCCAGGGGAGGGTCAGGTTGGCCATGAGGAGGAATTTCCTCCTGGAAAGGGTGTTCAGGCCTTGGCAGGGGCTGCCCAGGGAGGTGGGGGAGTGCCCAGCCCTGGAGGTGCCCAGGGCAGGACTGGCTGTGGCACTGAGTGCTCTGGGCTGGGGACAAGGTGGGGATGGATCAAAGGTTGGACTTGATGATCCTGGAGGTCTTTCCCAACCTCAGGGATTCTGAGATTTTGCTTGGACTTTTGCTCCTGACAGCCTGGGAAGGAGCCTGGAGGAGGTTTTCTGGTGACCCCCTTGGGAGGGGCTGGCACTGCCCCAGGCAGGGCTCAGCTCTCCAAACCAGCAGCATCCTCAGTCCAGGGCAAAAGGCAGGTCAGGTGAGCTCTGAAAAAATGCAAAACTCCTGCCAATGTCCCGTGGGGATTTGGTTAATGCTGCTGTGGGGGTTGAGCCTGAGGAAAAGGTCACAAAGACACTCAGGGGGACTCACAAGGGCCCAAAAATAAAGTGCAGAGAAAAAGGTTCACTGGGAACTGGAGGGACAGGACAAGGGGAGATGGGATCACACTGACAGAGGGGAAATACAGGTGGGATATTGGGAAGGGAATGTTCCCTGTGAGGGGGGGGAGGCAGTGGTTTTCCAGGGAATTTGTGGCTGCCCCATCCCTGGAGTGTTCAAGGCCACGTTGGAGCAACCTGGGATAGTGGGAAGTGTCCCTGCCCATGGATTGGAACAGGATGAGCTTTGGAGTCTCTTCCAACCAACTCGTTCTGGGATTCTGAAAAAGGAAAACCCAAAAGTGCTGCTGCAAGACAGAATTTAATGGGAATGAGAAGCTGAATATACACGAGTAAAACTCTCTGGATATAATCAAAGACTTTCAGGACTTCAGGAGGGTCCACAATGAATCCCCAGTTCCATGATTTTGCTCTTCTTCGGTCAGAAGGATTTGGCAAAAAAATCTGCAATTACAAGTGCTTGATATTTTTGGTTTTGCCCTGGCTTGTATCCAATGAGATATAGGCAGAAAAAGAAGCTGGGAAAGCGTTACATTGTGGGTATAAGCAGAAATAAAGCAAAAGAAAGACTTACAAATACCTTATTTTAAGAAATGCCAAGTAGAGCTGGGGTGTTTTTTTTGGTTTTTTTTGGGGTTTTTTTTGTTTTTTAATGCTGGTTCGGTAAAATTTACAAATGAATATGAATTTAGATAAAATTTCATTTTGGAACCCAAGATTTTCAGACCTATTCTTTTGATGTATTTTATACTTTTGATTTGGAGATAAATTGATAATAGAACATCAATGTTGGCATAAAAATGAATTTATTGACACACACTTTTACGAAACCAAGAAAAAAAAAATAAAGATTTTTTTTAGAAAATCTGGTTTCTTGGAAAATTCGGGGGTTTATTTCATCCTAATTCTGAACCAGGTCAGTGGTGAAATTTCAGTTTCTTGGAGTTTGGAAATTCTAGTCCTCGGGCAGGTCTAGTGCCAGGAAGCCATGGATTTATTGACTCCACTGGGAACCTCGGGAGCTCAGCACTTCTCTAATCCATTATCCATAAACTTAGTCGGGCTCTTTAGTGCTCAGTCCTGCTTTTCAGTCTATCCACAGATATCCGTGGGTTGGGGTTGGCCTGCAAGTTCTACAACAAAACAGTTGGGATGAGAAAGGAAGAAAAGGATTAAAGTTCCCTGCCCCATAAAACGACCCTGCTGAGTTCATCAGAGCTGCCCCAGAACCAAACCTACCCCTAAACCCAAGGGCTCCCCCGGCTCCAAGGAAGCTCCCGACGTCCCGGATGGTGGATCCCACGATGGTGTGCTGGGGGAAGGTGGTGAGCCTGGGCCCGGGGTAGATCAGGGAGTAGGGGGGCTGGTGGGGCTCCACGATGTTCACCACGGTGTCGGGGTACTGGATCACACAGGTCTCATTGCAGGTCACAGCAAAGGGCTCGGGGCACTGCAACCCCGGCAGGTAGCACTCCTGGAAGGGAGACATGGGGCAGGGCCACACCTGGAATGGGGACAGGGGATACAGTTAGTCCAGCAGGAATTGGGGGTTAAACACCTGGGACAGAGCCAGACCTGGAATGGGGACAGGGGATACAGTTAGTCCAGCAGGAATTGGGGATTAAACACCTGGGACAGAGCCAGACCTGGAATGGGGACAGGGGATACAGTTAGTCCAGCAGGAATTGGGGATTAAACACCTGGGACAGAGCCACACCTGGAATG